TCTTTAAAGGCACCATTCACGACTAAAAGTTATTGAGATCTTACCTTATTAATACTCAGCGGCCCCCATGGGTTGTTGAAGGGACCCTCTCACTCCCCCAATCTCGACGTCCAGGGCGTAGTGGCAGCTTCGTTGTTGACGTAGTTCGCATCTCCGCCCCTCGACTGATGTCACGTCAGACGAGTGTCGAGACGACACAGCGTCATGTAATCGCGTCAGGACCCACCCTGAAGTGCAATTTGGCAAATTGCCAGAGTCGCAATGTGTTGTCGGCTATTGCAGACAACACACTGCGTCTCTGGTCTGGCAAATTGCCAATTTGGCCGAACACCTCCTAACCACCGTTATTTCAATGTGAAACTCGTCCAACCCCCTTTCCAGCTCTTTTTTTGACCCTTTGTAGTTCTTTTTGTTTGTCTTTTTTTGCGGTTTTTTCGCTGTTATCGCTTTATTCTAGAGTAGTTCTATCAATTCCCGTCAAAAAAGGGTAAACTACATTTTTTGCTAGCGGTGCCTTTAAGGTAAAACTCCAGTGAAATGTCACAGAAAAAGTGATAAGTCATCCACAAAAAGTACGTCATACTTTGGGAATGACACGTCACTTCTTCTGTGACATTTTAATGGAACTTTACCTCGAAGAAGGAGTCGTAAAAAATATCCACTCTTACTTTGTTAAGCTGTTCAATAGGGAACTGCTCAACACATCTCTAAGCCTTCATGGCTTGTGGAATGCAAACCCAACAGAATGTCATAAAACTTTGTCCAGATACGAAGGTTGAATTTTGCCTCCAAATCCCTGATAGATTGGTTAGAGGCAGATAGCAATAACAAAATCAACCTCGTAGAAAAGGATACTACAGAAAAGGATACTCGTAGGAAAGGATGCTACATGGGATATCCGAGGAAAAAAGGTCGCGCTTTCAAATCATGTCAAAATGGTTTCATCTGAATGCACCAAATATCACAGAAATTTTGTTTTGAGTGTTTTCTGAACCACTACAAGTAGTGTGTATATGTGATTGACCAGCTAACAATGCTAAATTTTGCTTCATCTAATATTGTCCTTACATGCACTTTTGTTTTCTCTCATAAGTATAGTCGGAAGTGAGTTTCTCGGTTAGCAATGTCTCAAGATTCTCTAGAATGCTGTAAGTCTACCTGCTACTTGAAAGCATCAAAAATTATAAAGACAGCAATAAATTATGTGAATACTACCGTGGCTCGCCGGCGGGGCACTCGGTCGTCAATGGGTTGAAGAATGTATTGTCTTTTCTGTAGAGCTCATCCAGACCCATGTAAAACGCTTCCAGCTCCTCTTCTCCGAAGTTTGATGTTGTCGCGTAGGCGATCGAGCTTTCTTAATTGCAAGTTCTTAATCGATTCGTACGGAATGTCAAGCTTCCGTATGAATCGATGTTCATGACCAAAAGCGTATTAACGAGGAAAGCTACGCCGCCGACGCTTCTGCTGCCGCATGTTCCAAGGAACAATTCTTCTCAATTCTCAAATACGGCGTGCGGCGATCAATGCCTTTTCGGGTCGGTCAGTCCGATAACGTCATACTTGATCTCCGCAGCGTTCGATGCACATTTCCGATGCAAGTATTCATGCATTGTAAGTACAGATTGACATCCCAGTCCATCCCTTTTTGGGAGCCTGTTCTAAGTCTGAGATTACAGTAGCCTCTCCTGAGCGGTCCCACCCAATGCTGCCGTTTTGGGGGCTTTCTCAGGTTCACAAAAATGAGACCCATTCATAATACTGTTACTGAGGAGAACCACGAGTTGCTTGCCAGGCTCTGAAGTAGCCGATATCCACTTATTGAATATCCATCGCCCTGCGTATGTAGGCTATCTGATATAGTGGTTCAAGTATCTAGTCAGGCTATCTACAAGTAGGCAGGGGGCTTAGTAGTTGTAGGTGGCCCCGCGTCGCCTCCCGGATAACTTCCCAGTTTCTCGAACGAAAACCTGGGCCGGAGCCCATGCGCAGGTTACCCACTGCATCCGCAAACTCTCCTAACTCGTATGCAGATACACTTGGGAAAAGAAGGGAGATACAAATCGTCTCAGCACAGCAGCAACAGAGAATGCATACTCACCCCACCTGCCTCTATGCGTAAGCAGCGATCCCTCCGGGGCCACCTACAACAACTAAGCCCCCTGCGGTTCACTCCGTTTCTGTCACCTGGGGTCGCGCCATGTAGCCTCGTCACCAATCTCCAGTGAGAGATAATCTCCAGTGAAGCAGATCCTTTTGACTGACTGTCAGATTGTCATACTAATTTTTTCTGTTCGCGTAGTTCGTGCATTTTGTCGTTTCCTGACAATATGTATTTTTGCAGATTGTTGAGGAAAAGGCATGCGACCTGGCTATTACGATATTAAGGCATGCATCGTAACAGATGCTTTTCTCCACAGCTTCGCCCATCTTGCCTAGGTTATTTCTCACTAAAGCAGCTTGAAATTATTACTTTTGAGAAGGTGATTCAGAGCTCAAATTGTTTCATTGTAATGGTGAAAATTTTATGCCTCATAAAGTAAAAGGACAAAGTTTTTGGCGTTAATCAATCCCGTCTGAGG